TTTTAATATAAGACAAATTAAAACAAGGACATAGCCTCAAGACAAATAGCTTACTCTCTCTTATACCTGTTCGTACAACCCTTATGGTTACTTGAAGGAACAGCAGCATTCATTTGACCTCAGACATTTAAATTTTGCCTTTAATGCGCTTTCCCGAACATGTTTTCCTCACATTGACACTTTATACATGTATTCAAAAATGAACAAAGAAATCCAGTTTTCTTTTAAGGGTCAAGCTACAAGTTATAGGAGATATTAATTTGCTCTGCTTCCCCTCCTGAAACAGGAATTTCCTCAGAAATAAGTGCCTTGACAATACAACATGAGCCCATGTATTAAGGACCAATTGTGCCCATATTTACTTTGCAATGCGCAATCACAAAACAAGGTACTGTATGCTGAATGCAAGATATGGGGATAATGAAAAGTATGTGCTATGACAAACATGGCTTTCGCCACTTGAGAAAGTGTACCTGTTCTAAAATCCAGTAATGGAAGATCTGGTTTGATCCTGTGACACATACTTGACAAAGACCATTGAACTCACCTTTCCAATGCATTATAAGCACCTGTGGCTGAGCCTGGGTTGATATAAAACTTCTTTTCATATTCCAGTGCCTCAAATTTGTGTGTATGCCCTGAAATTAGGATGTCCACATCCAGCTGACGCCGCAGAATTGCCAAGCTGGCCAGATCACCCCAGGGAATAACTTGATGGCCGTGGATCAGACCAATTCTAAACTGCCCAACAGTCACAATTTTCTGTTGTGGGTAATTCAGGCCCTGGAGAAGAAAAGAGCTGGCTGTTAACTGTTATCTATGTCAGAGGTATTACACATAAGGAGCCCCTTCCCTTAAGGCAGGAGCTATGGATTATTCAGGTTACACATCTGCCACATTTTCTACAACCATGAACCCAGACTTGCACAAATAGTCATAATATTAGTTAGAGGCTGTCCACACTGGCGTATTGATTGATGTATGGATTGCTGTTGATATGGTTTGAATCAGACCGGCTTATAGCTTTCGTATATGCTTCTTTTTAGATCAATCCATCCTTTCCCTTTAAGAGCTATCCCACATTATTTTGAACCCCTGTCAGGGAGTTTTACTATTTTAATATTGGAAGGCTCCAGTAAAATCTGTTCTGAGTGATTTTGGTTGCTTGAAAATGGACTATAGCCCTGCAGTTCGTTCTAGTGTCAGTTTCCAGTACCCTGAAGCCACTTGTGAGCCACTTTAGCATATCAAAAATTGAACACATTCCCTCGTTGTCTGCGGAGGCTCAGGAAATATTATTTTTCTACATCTGCTAGATAGTTGTTGAAGCAATGTATCACTCCTGCTAAATTAAAACATGTTTTTCTTTGCCTTTCTGTTTATTGTAGATCAAGGACCTGCCCATGGCTTTCACTCTTCTCTCCCTCCCTCTCTGCAAATTGCCAAGTGTCTTTCCTTGACAGGATGTCTGCAGTGCATGTCTATTTATAACCTGCTGGGGCAAAAACGAAAGCTGAACCTCCTCCTCTCCTATCCACCCACCTCAAAGGCACCTCCACAACTGTGAGCAGTTTCTCAACAGACAGACAAAGAAAAACATTTTCTTAATTTAACAGAAGCAGTGCATTGTTTCAGCAATGATCTAGGCTATGCTAAAAATAATTTACTTCCTCTTATCCTCCACAGAGGATCAGGGGAAGTGTTTAATTGACAGTACTGTAGGAACCAAAGTGTAGTTCATACGGGAGGAGCTTACCAAATGGCACATTGCTTCACTCCTCGAACTCATCCAGCCCAATCCAGCTTGCACCAAAATGGCCAGTCTGGACAGGCTCTTAGTTCTAGTTTTAAAAAAAAAGATGGCTATTCAGGCCAGAGAATCCTACTTCCTAGAAGTCTCTGGAAACAGATTTTTTGTGTGTGTGTGAGAAGCCACACTTTGCCCACCCCAACTTAGAAAAACATCTCCTCCCTACCTCATCAAAGTCCCCTCTGACCACATGAACATCCCCGGCCAGTGTCCTCAGGTACTCGTAGCTCTCCCTGACACAGAGATTCCCGGTGCACAGGATGTGTTGGATCTTCCCAGGAACCAGGAGCTTTTTGAACTTGGCCGGGAGGCTGTTGCATCGATGTGGGATGTGAAGGTCTCCTAATACCAGAACCAACTTAGGGGAGCCCCGGGAGAGGATGAAAAGAAAAGATTAACTTTTAGCTTATAGATGTAAAAAAAAAAAACAACTGAATGACTGCTCCCAGTGATCTAATTTAATTCATTAGTATTTTTAAAAGATTATTGTATAATCAATAATTTTTTAAAAAGAGAGCTAAATGTTTTCCTATATAATAAAACAGACACATAACAATTAACTAAACTGGGTAAAAAGATCATGAAATGTAAAGCATCAAGTAAACTTCTTAAGGTTGCCGACAACCAGGAGACTGGCAGGAATTGACTGAGATTCTGCTGTTTTACAGTATCTTCCAACCCTTGTGCCTACATAATCTCTTAACATGAACTAGAGCATGTAAAAATGGGGTTCTGTGTCATGTGGAGAAGATTTAGAGCCTCTCCTTCTAATTTATTTCCCTGAAAAAATGGTCTAATCTACTACATAAATATTTGAACCACAGCAGGAACAGTAAAGCCTCACACAATAACATCACAAATCTATCCAACCACACACTGAGCCAAAGAGAAGCGTCAGTCCTCTCATGGGGACTGTCCTTTTGTCCCACCAAACCTGTACAGATGATACAACTCTGTGGTGAGCTGGAAGCCTTTTTCTGTAAACTGCAACTCAATGAATATCTCCACAACCTTAACAATAACCAGGATGAATGACACACAAGCTGTGCCTCAAAACTTGAGGAGGAGATGTACCAACAACATGAGGAGGAATAATATACCAACCCACAACCACCTTTGTCCCAGCACTACAGAAATAAGAATTCAGGTTGGACTCCTCCAGAGGGTTAGAACAAAGAACTGGATGACTATATTGAGTGCTTTTTCCACTGTGCCTGGGCGGAGATTGTCAGCAAGGGACACCCCTCTTCCCACTGTCCCTTGCATGTTGAAAGTAATGATGGGACGGTGGGTGCTACTGCATTCCCTTCATGGCTCGTGGAATACAGTCATATACAGAACACAACTAGAGCTACAGCAGTCCATCAAAGGAAGGGTTTTGGCTTCAAGAAAAGCCTTCAGCCTGAGATTCCAGCCTTTCCTTTTTGTCTGATGCTCTTGACTCGGATGGAAGCAAAACATCTCCTCTTCTCATTATATAAGTGTGTAGATTCCATCTCTGTTTGATTCATCCATGTTTGGGATTTTAAGTGTTGTATCCCTTGATTAATATGTAATTGTTTCTTAAAATTTCTCAGACAATTACAGTATTGGGAAAGTCGTCATACTTCACTTGCATTTTGATGAGTTTAAAATTTTAGTTACATATTAATATATATATTTAATATTTCATTGTCGCTCATGAGGAAGACTCTAAAAGTAATACAGGGCTGAAATACAATTTGTTCTGTAGAAACCAATAAAAACAAAGGGAAGAAAAGTGAACCACTTCACTTTTCCCTCTTTGGTTTATGTAAGGTTTTTTTGACCCATTCCTAATGCAGGCAATGCATTAAAATGGGTCAAAATCCTTACATAATCATTTCTAATAATTGCCTGCATTAGAAATAAGTGGTTAACTTTTCACAGTGACATGCCTTTCCCTTTACTTTTCACAAAGATAATAGTCTGTTCTGACCAGTCTCAAAGCAGAAGGTAATCGAAATTTATTTTGCAACAGGTCCAACAACAAAAAAACAATTCCCATTGTCTGTAGGCCATTGTTCTGCTAATCCCTTTATCTTCTCCACCACCCCAGCTTTGTAAACATTTGTTAGCTTCCAAGAAAAAGACTTGATGTAAGAGATTTTGCATCCACCTCTTTCTTCCCCTTTTCATGTATAGGTGTCCATGCTATAAAAATGCACACACATTTGTATGGATACCTGGGCAACTGCCAGGTCTCCTGCCAGTATTTACATTGCCCTCTTAAGAAAAACCTATCCCGGTCTTCCAAGTAGCATGAGATAACTAGATAAAACTCCACAGGATACTGAAATGCATGAATCAATGGTGTGTTCCTCTGGGCATATTCAGAGTGCATGTCTGTTCCTTGGAATGGGTAGGAGCTGAAACTTCCAGATTAAAATTCTAGATAATAATTGTTTGACCAGGACTCACAGAGTTGAAACCACAGAACCCTTTTTTTTTTTTTTTTTTTTTTTTTTTTGGCTGTTTGGCTAAGTTCTGGAGGTTTTTCTTCCTAACGTTTCACCAGTCTCTATGGCCAGCATCTTCAGAGGACAGAACTCTTCTGTCTGTAGGTAAGAATTGCATGCACCGGCAAAAGGGGGAGGGTGGACATGCTATTCTGCAGAATTGCCCAGTGGCCATGCCAGTTCTGAGATGGGTAGTCTAAAACCTAAGCTTTCCGGAGTTCTGCCAAAGAAGCTTCAGTACAATGTGTGAATCTTGGCCTTAGTGAGCTGATAACAGTTTCCTCTGTGAGAGAAACACTCTGCATATGCTTAGAGCACCCCTAGATATAATAGCTGCATATTGGAGACAGCAAAAATTCAAGAGGGAAATCAGATTCCAAGGCATGACAGCACCGCTGGATTATGTGCTGGCTGGAATCCCAGCACACTAGTGACCACCAAGAGACACTCAGTCTTTCTCCCAGAAAGGAAATGAACCGCTGAATAGACTAGCAACCCTTTCACAGCCCCATGCAAAAAGGACGCCCTGCTTACCATCCTGCCTCAGTTCTGCTTCTTTCAGACTTCTCTTGCAAGCAGGAAAGCAAACACAGAGAACCACCCCCAGGAAGAGTTCACAGCAGCTGCCAAGGGTCAACCTTAGTAGGCTTGGGCAGCATCTTGCACATGTGCAGTGCACAGCTGAAGCTGTCGCCCTAGCCCTCACCTTACACCTTTGCAGTCCTCTTGCATTTTAAAGTTCAGCATCCCAGTCCTGAAAGGTCTTATGCATAGCTCGTTTTTTTAAAAAAAGGAGGCCAGGCTTTGGCAGGTCTGAGCTTCAGAATGTGATCTAAAAACTAAGGCAAGGCAAACCCTGTACTCAGTCTGAAATTGCCCTCCACTGAATTTAATCCCAGTGTTTCTCCAGAGAGAAGTAGATTGGATCATGCAACACAGCGGCAGTCTTATCCCAACCCACCGGTGAGTAAAAGCCCTTGAGCTGAATGAGAGCTGCTTCCAAGGCAGCCTTGACAAAATCAGGCTGTAGAACTCAGTGGCTACACTTGGACAGAGCTTGAAAAGTTATGTTTTGGACTACAACTCCCGTTGGCCATCCTGAGCAGAGGGGCTAAAGTAATGGACCCAGATAGAGTTTCTGTAAATAGAAGCCTTTAAACTTTCTTTTAAAAATGTATTTCAAAGTGGCATAGTGCTAGATCAATGTTACAGATATTAAAAATAGATTAAAAATACCCTGCAGTCTGAAATCTGGAGTCCTGGCATCCAATACTGTACACACCCCACAGACACAATGCACTCTGACACAGGCATCCACATATGCCACCATGATTCAAAAGAAACGGTGCTCACAATCAAGTTAAAATGAACCCCCTTGTGCGTGTTTGCTTTCCGACTAAAAAAATGTACGTCTTAGCTGTACGTTATGATAGGCAGATATTTTTAAATTGGATTCAAGCATGCTAAACCCGATGCGAAAACAGTGGCATTATAATGTGCAGCCAAGGCCTCAGTCGGGATGAACTCCCAGAATAGTGGGAGTTGTATTGGACAAAGATTCCTATTTGGAAAAAAGGTGGTTTGGGAAAAGGTCAGTGTCGCAATCTCCTCTGAAGATGTTATTCCTCTGGCCTTCACAATGATCTCACTCTCCTTTCTTCTTCACTGCCACCAGATATTACTGCTGTAATATCAACTGAGTATGGAGACACGTGTGCTATTAAAACTTAAATCTTTTATTTAATTAGGGAAGTTAATAATCGATAAATAATCATAGGATAAATCACAGGTCGCCAATCACTTATATATGAATCAGATAGGATATAACTTCAAAACTATTTTAACACTCTGCTTCAATCTAGACGCTTACAGATCTCTAACTCACTCTTAGATCACTTTTACTAAGTTACACACAGTGTCTCTCTCCAGAGACTCCATCCACAAGTCTTTTTATCCTGCTCCCTCCCCCCCTTGGCTCCGCCTTCCGTTCACTCATTGGCTCCTTCTTCAAGGTTCTTACTACCTTTGAATGAATGTGACATTTAAACAACTTTTACACTTCATATGTATTAAACATTGTAGTTCAGTTACAAGTTTAATTACATTACTCACCATTTCAATCAGATACATACGTGCCTATTCAATAAAATCACTAAACATTTTTAATACATACATTTTTTTCTTCGAACACATCACTTATAACATTTAACACAGTACAATTAACATTTTATTGCTTTCGCCTTTTTACCAAAGTCCATTTCCTTTGTCTTCATTCTCCGGCGCTCCTCAACAGGGCATCTGCCAGAATATTTTGGGTCCCTTTTGTCCCAATTTTTTCCGTCAAAGTTTTTCGGTAATTTGAGTTCCCTATCAACAACCTGTCTTGGTCCTTTTCGAAAGTCCAGAATCGTAGTCATGGTGCAGGGATGTTGTTGTTTAGTCGTGTCCAACTCTTCGTGACCCCAAGGACCAGAGCACGCCAAGCCCTCCTATCTTCCACTGCCTCCCGTAGTTGTGTCAAATTCATGTTGGTTGCTTCGCAGACACTGTCCAACCATCTCATCCTCTGTCGTCCCCTTCTCCTCTTGCCGTCACTCTTTCCTAACATCAAGGTCTTTTCCAAGCAGTCTTCTCTTCTCATGAGATGGCCAAAGGATTGGCCCCTCAGCTTCAGGATCTGTCCTTCCAGTGAGCACTCAGGGTTAATTTCCTTTAGAATTGATAGGTTTGTTCTCCTTGCAATCCAGGGGACTCTCAAGAGCTTCCTCCAGCACCACACCTCAAAGGCCTCAATTCTTCGGCGGTCTGCTTTCTTTATGGTCCAGCTCTCACTTCTATACATAACTACAGGGAAAACCATAGCTTTGACTATTCGGACTTTTGTAGGCAAGGTGATGTCTCTGCTTTTTAAGATGCTGTCAAGATTTGTCATTGCTTTCCTCCCAAGAAGCAGGCGTCTTTTAATTTCGTGGCTGCTATCTTCATCTGCAATGAGCATGGAGCCCAAGAAAGTAAAATCTGTCACTGCCTCCATATCTTCCCCTTCTATTTCCTAGGAGGTGATGGCACCAGTGGCCATGATCTTAGTTTTTTTGATGTTGAGTTTCAGGCCATTTTTTGCACTCTCCTCTTTCACCCTCATTACAAGGTTCTTTAATTCCTCCTCACTTTCTGCCATCAGAGTGGGGTCATCTGCATATCGGAGGTTGTTGATATTTCTTCCGGCAATCTTAATTCCGGCTTGGGATTCCTCCAGTCCAGCCTTCCGCATGATGTATTCTGCATATAAGTTGAGTAAGCTGGGGGACAATATACAGCCTTGTCGTACTCCTTTCCGAATTTTGAACCAATCTGTTGTTCCACATCTAGTTCTAACTGTTGCTTCCTGTCCCACATATAGATTTCTCAGTAGATAGATAAGGTGGTCAGGCACTCCCATTTCTTTAAGGACTTGCCATAGTCTGCTGTGGTCCACACAGTCAAAGGCTTTTGCATAGTCAATGAAGCAGAAGTAGATATTTTTTTGGAACTCTCTGGCTTTCTCCATAATCCAGCGCATGTTAGCAATTTGGTCTCTAGTTCCTCTGCCCCTTCGGAATCCTGCTTTTACTTTCTGCTGGGAGTGAGTCTGCACTAAAACACTTTTGACATGCTCAGTGAGATTGATCCCGGTTATGCCTGTTCTCCACACTCCTTTCCATCCTTGGTATCTTATAGGTACCTCAGCCACTGGTAGGTTAATTATTTCTGCACCTATCCCCTTAACTGCCAGGCTTTCACCTTTCAATATGTACTCTGGGGGGATAATGTCTGGATGGCATAAAGTAACTTGAGAGCAAGAGTCTTTCAGCACCATAAATTTTGTCACATTTATGTAAATGCTGTCTCCAGAACTTTTAAAAAGCTCCTGGTTGGTTTTGATTAGATAGCAATGGAGGATTTCAGCCTCAGGCAGCTGTCCTGCTTGCTGTTTCTGACCTTCTGCCCTAGCTTCACTTGTATTAGGAGCTACTCTTTCACCCTTCTGTGAGGTAACTTTGTTTTGCTACATGCAGTACACTCATCTAGGCTTGAGCAAATTTCCTTTTTGCCCCCTTTCTTTAGCTTTAGCACATTGTGAAATGAAATGGCCTTTCTCTCCGTCTGAGCTAAGGGTTTTATCTCCTTTTCCTTCCCAGTTCTTGTATTCATGCTGGCTCAGTTCTGTGGGCTTGCCTACAAAATGGCCACCACTTGCCTGCTGGTTCTTGAGGTAACCCTTAGGATCCTTTTTACTGTCATCCCAGGTTTTCCTCCCCACTTTTACCTCCGAAAAACTTGGGTTTCGTATAATGAAATAAAATCTGCGACCCCTCCAGCTTCTTGAACACCTTTTGGCTTTTTATCTCTCACTAGGTAGATCTCCAGGTAGAAGTGAACAGAACTGCTCTAGCCCCATGATGTTCTTAATATCTTGTACAGTTTCAATCCCTTCCTGTTGGAGCCATTTGTCAAGATATTTGATCAAGTTTGCCCCTAGTTGAGAATAGGATTCTTCGGGGGGGGGGAGGTTGTCAGAGCTCTGAACTTCCGCCTCAAATGCTCAGCATTGATGCCAAACCGTGAGAATACCAACTTTTTAAATTCTTCAAAATTTCTCACTAAATCCAATGGCATGTGGGCATATATATCCACTAACTTGCCACTTATTTGAGACATCATCACAATCATACATTCAGATCCTCTCACTTCAAAATCTTCACACGCATGCTCAAACGAAATAATAAAAGATTCGGGATCATCTCCCTTTCTAAATACAGGGAATCTTTTAAGGTCTGCTTTGGACAAATGTCTTTCTTCAGAAGCAGAATTATTATTATTATTAGTCTTGGCTGTCAGCTCCAACCTCCTTAGTTCAAATGACATCCTTTCCTTTTCCAGAGCCATCTTCTCCATCTCTATATCTCGCTGTCTTTCCTCAGCTCTAGCTTTAATTTCTAGCTGTTTTAGCTGGAATTCCTGTTCCTTCTCTAATTTCCATTTTCTGAATTATCTTGGGCTGTCAACTCCAACCTCCTTAGTTCAAATGTCATCCTTTCCTTTTCTAGGGCCATCTTTCCCAGGGACATCCTGGGAAAGGAAGTTCAAAGGAATACCAATGTAAATTAACGTTTATGACGCTCTGTGTGTCTATATACCTACACTGCATTCTGTCTTGCCTTGGACTTTTCCTGACATGTGTATGTTATGGTGTTTGTTGGAACACATCTCGGCTAGCTAGCCAAATAAATGCTTTCCTGATAAGAAACCTCACATTTGGTTTCTTTGGCATTCTAAAGAAGAAATGCTCTCCACAGCTGCACAGTCCGAGGATCACGTCTCTTTATTCCCTAACTGGAAAACCCTGGAGAGAGTCGCCATAATTGACTTGCCGTCAGATGATTAAATTCTTATAATAAGCAATCAGTTCGTATTTTGCAGAAAAGAATCAGAAGTGTGCACGTTTCATTTGTTTGTGCAACCCAGCGCATGGCCCTTCGTTTGTCTCCTTGATGCTTCGTTATAGTTTTCCTCTCACAAATGGGTATCCACCAAAAACCAATGCGTGATCCAGTGAAGCTGCTGCAGGGCTGTAAGAGCCGGCCTTGTCTTCTCTGTCCACAAGGCACAGGTCTTGTTGACACCACCTGTGGAAGGTTCAAGAAAAGTGTGTCTCGTTTATACTGAAACTTTC